CAATAATTGAAAGATATATAAACAGCTTCAACGCCTCATTTGAGTAGATCTCTCTTATTTTTCATATTTCACAATCAGTTGTGGTTTCTCTCATTTTTCCATATTCTTTCTTTCATAAGAGACCGATTAGCAGTAGGTTTCGTTTAGTTCTTCTTGCTAAGCAGTTGTATTTCTTTACAAGTAAGTTGTATTCGTTCTTATGTTCTTTGTTTACTATGTTTTATATAATAAATCATCAAGAATACTTAGTTTGAACATGGTATCAGAGCCTCAAGGTACGTTTTCTTACTTTTCTTCAACTTACTGCTTTCAAAATTTAGAACATGAAAATTGATTAGTTGAATCTGGGTGCTCTTGACCTTTTTTTTACGTCTTGTTACTGGATCTTCTAAGATTTCTGTGTTCCCTTTTGAGTCGGTTCATCTTCTGTTTGTGAAATGATCGATTGAGTTGTTATACCTTGTAGATCTTTTAGATCTGAAAAGGTCCTCTCTCGAGATCTCTTTTATTCTTCATTGTTACCGCTTAAATGTTGATATTTTGATTACCTTCAAGATCTGTGTCCACTTCTTCCAGATCTGTTTAGGCTGGTTATGAAATGATCGATTGAGATGATGTATCCTTTAGATCTTTCAGATTTGGAGAGATCCTCTATCGAGATCTAGCTGTTTTTTGTGTTTCATTGTTCATATATCACATATTTGTTCATCTGCTCATATGTTTTTAATTTTCGTATGTTTCTGTAGATCTGTGTCCTTCACTTCCAGATCTTCTTTCCTGATCTGTGTCCTTATTTCCAGATCTGTGCTTACGGACTGTATGTTCTCGAAAATTGTCATATTATGCTCATATAAATAGTTTGAATATTCTGTTTGGTCAAGATCGGTGTTAATCCGAATCTGGCAATTTGATGATGTTCTAACTTGTCTCTTTTGTTCAGGTGGATCTTGGTTTGTTCTTTTTTGTCCCTTGTTCTTTGCTTCTTTTGAGCTGTCTGTTTAACAAATTGTTAAAAGGACGGCTGTTGCTCTCTCCTCCTGCTCTACAGGTGGTATATTTTATTTTCTGTTGTTCCCTTTAACCTTGTTAAAGGATTCTGTGGTAAGTGTGTTGCTATTCTTCTGTTTTTTGTCTGTTTGTCTGTTCTTTTGTTCATAAGGAATCTGATTTGTTGGCTTGACCTAGCACGATTATCAATGTTTTAGGAATCCTGCCTTTAAGCATTTCAGGTTCCTATTGTGTGCTTTTCTTTCTGTATGGCATCTTCAAAGGGTGAAGCTGGGAGTATGGTGGAACCCAAGGTCATTAAATTGGACTTTGGAGATCCACTATATTTACATCCCAGCGACACCAGTGGAGGTTCCATTTTATCGTTTAAGTTGAGTGGGACTGAGAACTATAAGGTTTGGTCATGTGCTATGATCTTGGCCTTAGAAACTAAAAATAAAACTGATTTTATTGATGGTACCTGTCTGCACCCTATTAATGATCCCTATCTTGAGAAACAATGGGATCGTTGTATTTCTGTTGTTCTTTCGTGGATATTAAGCTCAATGACTGAGGATTTGTTCCTCGGTCAAGTGTTTTCTAAGGAATCTTCTCAAGTTTGGGAAGAGTTGAAAGAAACATACGACAAAGTGGATGGATCTGTAACTTTCAATCTGTACCTGAAAATTAATTCTTTGAGTCAAAACAATATGTCTGTTTCTGAGTACTACCACAAGCTTAATTCTATTTGGAAACAATTTGACGCCCTCATTAAACTGCCCTCTTGTACTTGCAAAGCGTCTCACGACTTTTCTCTTCATAATCAGTTAATAAAACTCATGCAGTTTCTTATGGGTTTGGATGGCATTTATCAACCCATTAGAAGTAGTATCTTAACTAGAGACCCTCTTCCCTCTGTCAAAACTGTTTTTTCTCTGGTATCTAGGGAAGAGTCTCATAGAGGTATAAACGCTAGTCAAAATCGTGTCAAAACTCAAAATGCTGCTTTTTTGAGCAAAGGTTTTGAAAGTAGACGAAAATTTGAAAAAACTCAAACAAGTCTGATTTGTAAACACTGTGGAAACACTGGTCACACTATTGAAAGATGTTTCAAGTTGATAGGATATCCTAAAGAATTTCAAAATCGGGCCAGACCTCAAAGTCAAAATCAAAGTTTCAAAACTCAGACTCCAGACTTTAGACCCACTGCAGGAAATGTTATGTCTTCTGAATCTGTCTCTGCTAAACCATCTTTTACCTTTTCAGAAGAACAGGTTGCAAAAATTTTGAGCTTAATTGACCAAAAACCAAACCTTGATGAAGCATATGCCAATATGGCAGGTATGTTTCAAAACTCTAGTTCAGGATGGATAATAGATTCAGGAGCTAATTAACACATGACTTATAATTCCCTAGGTTTGGAAAATGCTGTTGATGTTTCGGACTTGAACCTTAGAGTCTGTCATCCGAACGGAACTAAGGCTAATATAAATAAAATTGGCAATCTCAAACTTTCCAATAATGTTACTCTATTTGATGTTCTTCTTGTTCCTGAATTCAATGTGAATCTATTATCTGTTCATAAGTTAGCTAGGGACAATAAAGTTTTCATAAGATTTGATGAATCCAAATGTTATGTCCAGGATTGTCATCAATTGAGTATAGTGGGGACTGGTAGTCAGAATGGAGGGCTTTATTTATTTGATCAAAACTTTAAATCTACCAACTCTCTTACTTCTAATAACTGTGGTATGGTTCATTTTGTTTCCTTTCAACTTTGGCACAGTCGCCTTGGTCACCCAGCTGACCAAGTGCTTCAGGTCTTAAAAGAAAGACTCAATATTAGTAATGACTCTTGTGGTCCTTGTGAAGTTTGCCATAAGGCAAAACAAACAAGAGAAAAGTTCGGAATCAGTATACATAAAACCAAAAATCTTGGAGATCTTATTCATCTTGATGTATGGGGTCCTTATCATGTTTCTAGTAAAGAAGGATTTAGATTTTTTCTAACCATTGTTGATGATTATACTAGAGCTGTTTGGGTCTATCTTTTGAAAGGAAAAAATGAGGTTTGTGAGTACATTGAAAGTTTCTGCAATTTTTTAAAAACTCAGTTTGACAAATCTGTTAAGGTCTGTAGGACTGATAATGGAACTGAATTTGTTAATCAAAGATTATCTGAATTTTTTGAGTCTAAAGGAATTTTGCATCAAACCTCATGTGTTTATACACCTCAGCAGAATGGGGTTGTTGAGCGGAAACATAGACATTTACTTAATGTGGCTAGGGCACTCATGTTTCAGGCTGGGATCCCGCTTAACATGTGGAATGAATGTGTCTTAACTACCACGTATCTTATAAATAGAACTCCCACTTCTGTTCTAAATGGTAAGAGTCCCTATGATTTGGTTTATGGCTTTTCACCTGTTCTTACTCATCTGAGAAATTTTGGGTGTCTCTGTTTTGCTTTAATTCCTAACATAACTGATAAGTTTTCTCCAAAATCCGAAAAGTGTGTTATGTTAGGATATGCAAATTCAAAAGAAGGGTTATAGACTTTATAGTCTTGATACAAAGAAACTATTTTTTCCAGAGATGTCAAGTTTTATGAAAGTATCTTTCCTTTCAAGATGAGTAATAATGATTCTGAATTAGTCAATACTGATGGTGTTAACAGTCTTAATTTCTTTGATACTTTGTCTAGATCCTCTAATGAATTTGATAATGTAGGGCCCGATGATGAGAACAGTGGATCTTCTCGGGATGATTGTAATCATCGATCTGAATTTAGAACTAGCAACCGTAGTGATCTAGGTAGCCTGTCTAGAACTGACAATAGGCAATCTCTAGGCAGCTCTGAAATTCGATATAGTCAAGATCCTTCTTTAGAAGTTGAACTTGACAGAGGAGTTACCAGTTGGCAGCCTTTGGGCAGTCCTAGTATGGTTGCCAGGCACTCTCGTGATGCTATTCATTCTTCTGAAGGGATAAGCGAACATACAAATGATGACTCCTTAGGTCATATCTCTGAGGGTGATTCTTCTCAGACTCAAATTGTTAGACGGTCGGCTAGAACTAGTAGTTTTCCTCGGAAGTTTGATGATTTTGTCATAAAGGGTAAAGTTAAATATGGCATAGAGAGGGTGGTTAATTATTCGTGTCTTTCTGCTGAAAATCATTATTTTGTTTCCAATTTAAATAAATCTGTGGAGCCTAAGACTTTTAAAGATGCTTTTAATGATCAGAATTGGGTGAATGCCATGAATGACGAAATGGAGGCTTTACATAGGAATGGGACTTGGTTTATCACCGAATTACCTAAAAATAGAAAAGCTATAGGGTGTAAGTGGGTTTATAAAATTAAATATAAATCTACTGGAGAGATAGAAAGATATAAGGCTAGATTATTAGCTAAGGGTTATAGTCAAAGGGAAGGTCTAGATTATGAGGAAACTTTCTCCCCTGTTGTTAAAATCGTTACAGTTAGGTGTATTATAGCCTTAGCTGTTCAATTTAGCTGGCCTTTGTATCAACTTGATGTTAATAATGCTTTTCTATATGGTGATCTTGTTGAAGATGTCTATATGACCCTTCCTGAAGGGTATTATAGCTCTAAAGATAACCGTGTTTGTAAATTGGTTAAATCATTATATGGTTTAAAACAAGTCCCGCGTCAATGGTATGCCAAACTTTCTGCCTGCTTAAATGAAAATGGTTTTGTACAAAGTATAAGTGATTACTCCTTGTTTACAAAACGTGTGGGTTCTGTTTTCCTTGTGCTTCTTGTATATGTAGATGATATCGTTATAACAGGAAATAGTTTAGTATAAATAAATAGTTTCAAAGAGTACTTAAAAACAAAGTTTTTAATTAAAGACTTGGGAAAAATGAAATATTTTTTAGGAATAGAAATTCTTGAATGTGTTAATGGTTTATGTTTGTCCCAAAGAAAGTACTGCTTGGAATTGTTAAATGATTTTGGGTATCTTGGGTGTAAACCATCATCTACACCCATGGATGCAAATTTAGTCATTTCAGATTTAAATAGTTCTAAAGATTCTCTTTTGTCTGACTGTACTGGGTATCAAAGATTGATAGGCAGATTGATTTATCTTTTAGCCACTAGACCTGATATTGCATTTGCTGTTCACTGTTTAAGCCAGTTCATGCATGCTCCCAGACAGTCTCATCTAAATTTAGCACTCAGAATTCTCAGATATCTTAAGTTGTCACCTGGAAAAGGAATCAGCTTTACAAAGTCAGAATGTTTTAATCTTACTGCTTATGTAGATGCTGATTGGGGTAAATGCTTATCCTCTCGACGATCTGTTACTGGATATTGTTTGTTTCTTGGAAAGTCTTTAATCTCGTGGAAAAGTAAGAAACAAAACACTGTTTCACGTTCTTCCGCCGAGTCTGAGTACAGGGCTATGGCCACTGTATCTTGTGAGGTTATTTGGGTGCTTAAGATTTTATCTGATTTGAATATAAATAATCTTCTTCCTGTTAGCTTATTTTGCGATAATAAATCTGCTATTCAAATAACAAACAATCCTGTTTTTCATGAGAGAACAAAACACATAGAAATTGATGTTCACTTTATACGGGAAAAAATAAGCAGAGGTGTTTTAAAAATTGAAAAAATATCTTCTTTTGAACAAACGGCAGATATTTTAACCAAAGCCCTAAACATTACACATCATAACTATTTGTGTTCAAAATTAAAAATGATTGACTTGTTTAAAAGTCAAGATTGAGGGCGGGTGTTAAAATACTCTTGTATTTACAATCTTGACTTTATGTCTAACTTAACTTTCTGTCCTTGTTTGTTAATTTGTTAACAGGTAAGGGTAGATTG